TCCCAACCTGATCCAACTCTTCTTCTGGTCTAGTTATACATAAATACCCGTTAACGCAAAATCCATTTACGAAATACACAGAAGTTTGGCTGTAAAAAGGCATGCGTCCAAGTAGAAGTGATACCTAAATGTTGCTTGCTTTGCCCCTGAAACACCATCAGCTCTCTCCTCACACAGAAGAAGCTGGAATTCTCCAAGGACGTTGGAGGATGGAAGGGGGCAGGTTAACACTGGAGGCAAACTTCACAGAAGGACTGGGACAGTCAGTGGGGTGCCTGAAGGGGAGAGCCCACCCCCTCCCCCATAGTGGACAGTCTGGTCAACATAGGGCCAGCATAGGAGGGGAGCAGATGAGAGCAGCAGTTCGAGGCAGGGGCCCCTGGCATTGGCTCCTCTCTTACTCTCTCCCATAAGGAGTTGGCTTGGAGATTGAGGAGCTCATCTGTGCTTCCCTGGGGACCCCGGAAGAGGAGGGATGGAAGAGAGGGGCACACTTGCCCTCCTCTTCCTCACTTCCTGGTAAACACACAGCTGGGGCCTCCTCACCTACAGCCAAATCTAGGCCAGGCCAACAACAGTGGCTGGGGGGTGGGGGTTCCTGGGGCCATCATCCTGGGTACCCAAGCCTGAAGTAGATCCCCACTGGCAGGAAGAAAGTGACAGTGAGAGATGGATCTGGAAAGAGCTGGCCATTTGCTTTGATGTTGTGATGGCTTTTGTGAAGGAGCGGATTTTCGTGATGCAGGTACAGAGATGACAATGATAGGGTGATGCGACAGGGAGAATTCCAACAAAATCCAAGAGAGAACCAGCAGCCACATTCCACGGACAAAGAGTGGATCTCTGCGATGCGACAACGCAGGGATCCCAGCCTGGTCCTTCAACTGTAAGACACAGTAAGCCCACCACCACAGACATGGTCAATGCTGCCTCCCAGGGTTCCCACCCAGCTTTCCCCCAGGAGCTGCAGGAACTAAAATCTCCTCGCTGGAGTCTTGTCAGCCTCTCTGTAGCTATTCAGAGGCAGAAGGCAACAGCCAGCTCCCCTAGACATACCCCACTGCCGCCACCCCTACCCCACACCAGGTCAACACCCTTAATTCCCCCTAGAGGTGCAAAAAGAAATGATTCTTACTGGGGCAGGCTGGAGGGTGCCCCAGATCTGTGGAAGTGGACAATCTGCCATTTGCCATCCCTGCGGTGCCAGACACGGGTCTCCTCTGACTGGGCCGTGCGGGGGATGCCACCTGCATCCAGGTACTGCGTGATGCGGATGTAGGCGATGCACGCTGACTCGTCACCCATCAGGTGGATGTGGGGGTTCAGGATGGTGGTGTGCACAGGCTTGCTGTTCCGGGACCACACTGGAGGCAGGGACGGGAGGGGCTGAGGTGTGACAACCCAGGGGACTTCCTGCCTTATTGCATTGCTCTCAGCTTCCAGCTTCCCTTTCAAGGGAGACATCTCTGCCTGACTCTATGCAGTAGGGGAATCTCTGGGATAGGGATCAACTACCTGAGAGTCAAGGCAGAACTGCTACGCAACTTAGGCAACAGGATACCACATCCCAGGTAAGGTACAATGCACTTCAGTCATGCCAAATCGCTCAAATATGGGGAGAGTGGGATTTTAGAATTAGTGTCTTGTATATACAAAAACATGAAGCCCAGACAATTTACTGAGCCAGATAAGGTTGATTTTTTTTTTCTCGATCACAGATAGGTACCTAGACCAGGCCAGCACTTAAATGATAGAGGTTGAGTTGGGTATAAGATGCTAGATGGCAGCCAAGCCTCTACCTCTGGATGGGGAGACAGTAGGGAGTGACAGAGACTGTGGTGAATAGAACAACTTGTGCCATCTCGAGGGCAGCCTGCCCACAGCTCCTTTGGGTACCATGTGTTTCCCATGTTGTTGCTCAAGAGAATCTGAAGATCTCTCTGGATTTTCATATTTAAAAAACCTTCACTTTTAGCCACTATTATGTTATTCATATGTAACACAGCTACATGAAATGTCTGTAGTCTATATGAACCCCACCCTGTTTATCAACTCTATTGCCATCTGTTGAATTATAGACACAGGGGAAATGGAACCTTCAATTTAGGGGGGGGGTGTATTGGTCATCATGGAGTGAGGTCATAGCTCTTTCTAGGGTTAGGGGGACACCAGAAGATCTTGTTGTCATGACAACTAAACAGAGTGCCTGGAAGTGGTTCCCACCTCCATCTTCAACATCTAGAAACTCTCAAGTTGTTCAAAATGTAAAACAAAAGCACAGAAACACAGTGACTCAGGGGCAGACAGAGGCCATCAGGTTCTCACTCTGACAAGAGCCCTGTGTCCTCCCCTAGTGTAGCCCAAATATTGGTTCCAACCATATGAACAGCTAGTCTCAAATGTGGAGTCTCAAACGCTACCCACAACGCCACAGTTAGAGACCCCGTAACACCAGCACTTCTCCCCATTGCCGTACTCTGATTCTGTTACCCAACAAAATTTGTAAACTACATATCCCCTGAAAACTGTAAGCTGTCTTTTTTCCCCCTAGACTAAAAAAAGAAAAAAAGCATCCTTTAGCATAGTAGTCATTGTGTGCTTGGGCCCTCAATAAGCACGTCTCATACAAACAGAATAACAGACTCAGAATTTTGAGCTCTCAGGCACAGAAAATGTAAGCTTTTAGAATAAACTTAGAGCAGTGGTTCTCAACCTGTAGGTTGTGATCCCTTTTCGTCAAATGACCCTTTCACAGGGGTCGCCTAAGACCATCAGAAAACACAGATATTTACATTTATGATTCATAACAGTAACAAAATTACAGTTATGAAGTAGCAATGAAGATAATTTTATGGTTGGGGTCACCACAGCATGAAGAACTTTATTAAAGGGTCGCAGCATTAGGAAGGTTGAGAACCGCTGCCTTAGAGGCTAAAGGTCACCAAGTTTCCCTTTTCCAAAGTGCATGAGACTTCCCTAAATGTCCCTGAATATAATGCATGAGGCTGGAGGCAATGTGTCCCTTACTGTGTGTAGAAAACGAATCCAAAACCACTATCTGACTTAGTCCAAGCTGTCAATTTTTGGGGAAAAAAAATACAGAAGACAAGTTCACAGTGGGTGGATTAGGACAGCCCAGGTCCATTCCAGAAGAGACAAACAGGTTAGCATTGGTTGTGGCGGGGGACAAGCTTTGCCCCTGTTGATGGTGGCTGGGATCCCAGGGACTCTAACATGATACGGTGTTACTTGACCAGATTAGCGGCTTCCAGGACATCATTCTTATGGACAAGGTGCTGAGCAGGAAAGGGCAGGCTGTGGGAGGAAGCTCTACAGGGTGAGAGGCTGTACTGAGTCACACCCTGTGAGTCTTCCTTAGAAGTAACCAGAAGGTTAAGCATAGGGTCTAGGAGCCAGTGCTGAGATAGCGCCTGCTGCATGAGCAGACCAGAAACATGGACTGCTTTCTGTATTTGGACGCCTTGGCGGTGGGTGGTCTCTGCACCCGAGGAGCTGAGCCTTTACTTGATCTCTGCCCAGCTCTGTGGAGACTAGAGGACTGCAGCTTGGAAACAGCGCCCCCAGAGGACAAAGGTATAGTGACAGCCACGGTGGTCCTCAGAACTGCACGCGGGATGAGAGTGAGGGCCTAAGGTCCAGCTTCCTCTCTTACTAGAATTCAGTCTCCATCACTAAGCGCAGAGGATCCCATCTAATTCTTTAAGAAAATGTAGCTAGTTTCTTCCTTTCCTGTCTTTCTTTCTTTCTTTCTTTCTTTCTTTCTTTCTTTCTTTCTTCTTTCTTTCTGCCTTTCTTTCAGAATGCCTGTTGCTATGCTGACAGAATGGACCCTGTCAACACCAGGCTGAGACAGAGCTAAGTCTGCAGCTTGCTTTGGGGATTCTTTTGGACAGGTCACTCTCCTCTCTTGGCCACAGTGGAAATGTCTTTCTGAATGATAGAATTGCGCTTCACCTTGAGTCATCACAGTACCACCTGCGCTTTGTTTGTTAAACCGTATGTGAGCACCATCTGTGCTTATTTCATGAAACAATTTTCCTGGTTAGTTTCATAATGTTTATTTATTTTTAAGGTTTTATTTTTATGTGTCTCTGTGCTGTTGGGAGGGGGTGGTATGTACACCAGAGTGCAGTGGCCTGTGGAAGCCAGAAGAGGGGGTTAGATCTTCTGGAGCTGGAATTACAGGCAGTTATGACATGACATGAGTGCTGGGAACTGAACCCAGGTCCTCTGCAAGAGCAGTATACACTCCTAATCTCTGGGCCATCTCTCCAGCCCTAATGTGGTTATTTTAACTAAAACTTGCCAGCACTATCGTCAGTGGACAATGGGCCATACAAAGAAAACAAGGAACAGAAAATCCAGTGAGGAGAAAATAGGTCATTCTTGCATGCAAGGCATCTGAGCCCTTGGTGCCCTTTGAAAAAGGAGGGAAATTGGGAACTGTCAGAGGTGAACTGAGTCTTTCTCTGCCTGAGAACTCCATGAGAATTAGCTAGGAAGGGCTTTCTTGCTATTTGATTCAATGTTATATATGTTGTGCCTAGAAAGACCAGAAAGCATGTGTGTGATTTGTACCTGTCATTTGGGGGTAGGCTCACTATACCACCCCTGAGGTCCATCCTCCATATCCTAACCTTGGCTTGGTCCCTGTCTGACCCCTGGCCTGGGTAAGACACAGACAAGCGGGAAGCTTACTGGCTCAGGCTCAGGTTCAGCACCCTGCCCACCCTTGTTGCAAGCTTCTGAGACCTCTCCTGCAGAGGAGAGGCCCAGGAAGGACAGACATGCAGGACAGAGACCTGGACACACAGGCAGGGCACAGCAGTGTGAAATCCCTGGCCCTCCCTATCTACAAGGTCATATGCATCATAACCCAGGAGCCATCGGGTCACCAATTAGGCACCTGGGATGGCCCCAAACATCCAGATGACTGTGACTTGTGGTGCGAGTTAGTGAAGGCTCCCTGTTTATCAATGGGAACAAACTCTCCCAGGGTAGAAGGCAGGGGGGGGCTAGGGAAGCTTATCATATGTGTCCTTGGCCTTGGGGACCCACCCCAGCCTCACCCCATCCTTAGCCACAGGAAGGACAGCTGGCAGTCCACCTGGCAATCAATGGAGAGGGAATCAAGAAGGTACCAACCCCTGTCCTCATGGGATCTTCCTCTTCACTGGCTCCTGAGCTGCCCCTGAGGCCCTGCCCGTCACCCTGCTGTGCCATCCAGCAGGACATGGAAGGAGGTCAGACAACAGGCACCCCAGAGAGAAGGGATTGCTCACGGTTTTCAAAATAGAATCGATGAAAGTCCAGGCCCTCAACCAGGTTCCCCAGGGCCTCGGGTTCAAAAGCTGTCATTCCGGGGTCACACATCTTCCTGGAGGAAGGAAGCCAGAGGTAAGAGGGGCCTGAGAAGATGACTTCTCCTTGCACCCTTGGAGGGTGAGCCAGTAAATGGGAATGCCCACACCTTCCTCGAAGGACCAACAAAGGAGGAGTTTGCACACCGTCAAGTATGGAGCAGGACTGGGGTAAGGGGCATGCCGGTTACATCCAAGAAGTCCAAGTTCAGGCCCTGGTTTTGCTACTTACTGATGACAAGGTCACCAGCATGTATGTCCCTCTGGGAGTGAAGAGTACCAGGAGGGGGTGAAGCAGTCATGCTGAACAGCCTGCTCCTTATTCTCCACACTGTACCCTCTCCCCGGCAGTGACCCAAGGGGCTTTTCCTAACTTTTTTCTTGGGGTGTAGGAGTGAGATGCCTTTTCCTTTCCATCAAGGGAACTCAGCTCCCCAAGTCAGTGTGTACCTGGAGGAGGTGTGTTGTACTAATTTGGACAAAACCACCCTATGGCTGGAGCACCCTGATGGTTGCCTCGGCTGTAAATGAGGAAAAGAGCCCTAAAGAAGCTGATGTCCATGGGGCTGGAGAGATGACTCAGCAGTTAAGAGCACTGGTAGTTCTTCCAGAGGACCTCAGTTCGATGGTGGCTCACAACCATCTGCAACTCCAGCCCTTTTCTGGCCTCTACAGGTACCAGGCATGTATGTGGTATATAGACATACGTGTAGGCCTCATACACACAAAATAATACATTTTAAGAAAGTGATATCAAAGGGAATGCAGAGGATATGGCTTGGGAGACCTTGGGCAAAAGGGAGGTTGTATGTTTTCGGCTGACTGCCCCCTTCCAGGCATCAGTCTTCTGGAGTGACTGCTAGGCAGAGAAAGATGCAAATGAGGATCCATTTACATACCTGGAGGGCCTTTTGAGGTACAACATAAACCCCTGTGACCATAGCAAAGAAGCCAGAGACAGGAAATGCCCCTGCACAGGCTTAAGCTTCCGGTCCACACTAGAACTGGAAATCTCAGAAGAGGACAGCAGGCCCGGCCTTGCCTGAGATGGACAAAGCCTTTGAAGTCCACCCCTGCTTCAGGGCTTCATGAAGGGTTGTCTGGGCTCTTTGCATCCGTGAAGGACTCGAAGCTTATCTGCTCTAAGTGTGTCATAAATATGGAGAAACTGAGGCTCAGGGAGTTGAGGGAGCTAGTTCTGGAGCATGCCAGGCTACATTCCAGGGCACCACAGGCCCCAAGGCCATGGGAAGTTTCAGAGCTTAGAGCAGGCTGAAAATGCCATGCTAGCCTGTAACATTATATAGGGGGAAAGTTTCCCCATGACACCCAGAGAGGTCACCTCACAAGCTTTTTGTTCCCTGGCTGTGGTTTTTCAGAGTTACTGACCTGATATATCCTGACTAAGCTTCTTTAGGGCTACTCAAAAGACTAGTGACAGAGTCTGCTTCCATGCTTTAATGGTGTGGGATTGCCAGGTCCAGACAGTCCCTATCAGCCTTGGTCAAAATGCCAAGGTCTACATCTGAAACATCCATTCTCTCCTGGCCAGGCAGCGTGATGACCACTAGGGGGTGCTGAAGCCCAGTTTATGCACACAGCCTCCCCGCTATGGGCTGGAGCAGGTGAGTGAGCAGAGGATATTCTGTTTAAGACTGTGTGCCTTATCCCCAGAAAGTTTAAGGCTTACTTTGCTAACTCTTGCTCACTGATGGGTCCCTGCCTGTTCCTGCTCAGCTAAGGTCAAAGACCTGTGACCATCCAGACAAAGGACTCAGACCCACTGGGCAGGATGGAGAAAGGCCTGTCTCCATTCCCTCCTTCCTGTGCGAGGGCACAGACCACCCATCTTTGGGGGTGGGGTCAAAGCAGCTTTATTGGAGCTCCTCCCCTGATCAGGCTGTCAGGGAAAGGAACAGGTAAGTGTATGAGCACCTGGCTGAGTGCAGAACAGAACAGATGGGGGCTCCATCTCATTTGCAGCACATGCAGAGTGAGTAGGCTCCATCACCCACGGTTAGCACCCCTGAACCCAATCCAGGCAGAGCATGCAGAATGAGCCTGGCTAACTCACGTGTAGGATTCAAAATCTCCATTGCTTATGGCTTCAATCAGCTGTTCTGTCACTTTTATAATTTCCTGTTTGCGCACTGTAAGGTAGGAGGGGACACAATAACAACAGTGATAGTCACGAAGGAGCAAGTACCAGCTTCCGAGTCCCCAGCACATGCCAGGCAGGCTCTGAGGCGACCTGACTCTGTGTATAGATGATCTCACCCATCCTTTTGTTGTTCCTGGGGGAGAGAGATCGTTTAGCCCCATTTCACACAAGAGGCTGAGACTCAAAGTGGGGGAAATGTAGTTCCATGAGCTACAGAAAGAAGGCAGAGAGGCATTGCCTCAACTGGCAGCCCTGACCTCCAAACACCACCGTGGGCGTCCAGATTCTAGTCTTGTCTGAAGCCAGTTTTTAACTCCAAAATAGCCATCTTGATTTGCCATGTGAATCAAAGCAATGAATGCTACATGTTGCCTGATTACTGGATTCCACAAACCAGGGCTCCCCCACAGGCAAACGTGGGGCCACAAAGGAATGTCTCTGAAGACACTCATTTCTTATTGTCTGGGTAGTTTTCACTCAATCTGAGTGACTGTAAGATTCAGATAGAGTTGTTTTTCCCCACCTGCCAGGGTGGTGGTGGGGAACAAAAGCGGATTTTCTGGTAGAGAGTTAAATGCCAGCCCCTTTATTAGATGTGTGATGGCCTGACCCTCAGCAGTACCACCGGTGGAACGAGATTCACTCAGAGCTAGTTGGTAGCACCAAGAACTCAGGTTTCAATTCCAGACAGAACTATGTCCAAACCCCAGTTTGGGCCCTGATAGGCTGTGGTGGCTGACGGCCACAAGACTGACTGGCTTGTCAGATGGAGACAAAAGTGTCCTCCTCCCAGAGCTGGTCTGAGGGTGGGATGACGAGGTAAGCATGAACCAGTGTCCCCAAGCCCGTCCCACAGCAGGTGCTCATGGTAAGCACAGACCACACTTCAGCTTGCCTTGCCTGCTCCTCCCAGACCCCCAACAAGCAGGCAACACAGGAGATAACTGACCCTCAATAATGAAGGAATCTGCAGTGTTGTAGGCCCCAGTGGAGCCAAACAGATGGTATCTTAGTTAGTCCAGTGAAGGCCCTCTTTCCCTCCTCCAGTTCTCCCCCAAACCTGGCCACTCCACAGTGAGGCAGAGGTCACACTGCCCAGGAAGTGGGTCCAGCAGGTCTCAGCATCTCCCAGCCTCAGAACTAAGCCTGGGGGAATCTCTGGCTTGCCCTTTTTCTTGCCAGCTGCCTACACTGCCTCAGGCTCTCATCTCAGACCCAGGGGAGACAGACTCTGAGGGCATTCAGGCTGGAAGAACTCTTGCAGGCCAGAAACCTAAATTCCTTTCTGGACTACTGAGGAAACAGAGGCCCAGCGAGGGTCGAGACTCGCCCAAGGGCATGGGACATATGGTGCAGTCTGGCTCACGGCCCAGAACCTTTTCTAGGGGACCCTGGTGATTCAGCCCACATGTTCACACCCCATGTTCTCATAACACTAACCCCACACAGCTGCTTGGCATTCACTACCTATCTCTAAACTCGGTGCCAGCCAGTGGAGGTGGTAGGGCCAGGGCTTCCTTGAAATCTGGAGTTGGCATGACCCCTCCAGGCTACAGTACAGACTGAGCAAGTGAGTGAGCACAGCTGTGGCCAGGGACTTAGCCTGTAGAGTTTCAGAGCTTCACACCACAGATGAACTCTTCCCACATCTATACCTAGCATAGCCCTTGGCATGGAGTGTGTGCTTGGCAGAGGGAACAATGTTCCAGCAATGCAGCCACCACAGTGCTCTCAGCCAGCCTGCCCTGACTCTGATTGGAATCTTCCCATGCTGGGAATGTCTGTCAGATCATGAGTGTCATTCATCTTTAGGGTTGTTCTCCTTTTTTCGGGGGCCCACGGGGGCAGAAGCTGTATCCAATATACATATGTAGAGTGAATGAATGAATGAATAAATGAATGAGCAGATGGCTCCAAACCAGAGTCTGGCTGTCATCTTTGCCTTGTCTCTGGAATTGCCCAAGTCACCTCTGCACCTGCTCTTAGGGGTTTCAGAACCTGGGCTCCTGGTCAGCTATACTATCCTTTGCAAAAGCAGAGATGGATCGTGGGACAAGTAGGTTTTGCCAGCAGGGACTGCAGACTAGCTACTCCTCCATGGGAACAGAGGGGACAATGCAGAACAAACCCATGTACTCCCAACAGGCTGTGGAAACCCAGCCCTTGCTTGTGCCCTGGGACCCTCCTGTATATCTTTCTACGAGTGTCCCCTTTGCATCCTTCCTCCTACAGACTGCTTCTTGCTGCCATCACAAGGAGTGTGGCAAAGTGGTTCAAACCCTGGGCTTTGGAGTCAAACTCTCTAGGCTTGGATTCTTGTTCTGTCACCTCATAGCTTCAAGGGACTGCCTTGGATCTCAGTTTCCCCATACAGATAATGGAGGTAACAGTAGTACCTACATTTTGGGGTTATTCTGAAAATCAGTAGAAAGAGCGTTCACATGGCAGCCCTACCTGGGAGCACCTGTGTTCCAAGCACCCAATATCAATGCCTCATTTGAGGGATAGTGTCTGAACTCAAGGATTCAGAGCTAGGCCTGGCACTCACTGACAGCTGTCATATCTGTCATCTGCAAACCAGGAAGCAGAAGCTTGTCCAAGTCCTGTCTCAAGGCTCCAGATGGGCCGCATGCTTCCTGGATGCCTGAGTCATAGGACACAGTCCTACTGGAGTTACGGGCTGCAGCAACCACCACTCTGTTAGACAAACCTGACCATGTGTACCTTGTGGGCTTGGGGACCTTCCAGGCTGAAGTTTACCTCTGAAAACTCCTACACGTAGGAGCTCCTCTTTCTGTTTCCCGGGGCCCCCAAATGAGCACACGTTCCCCAGTCTCCATCCACCACTGACCAGGCCTCTTCTCAGGATGTGGTTTCCAGATCCACTGCAAGTTTGCATCTGTCCTCAAAGCTTCTGACGCTGTCTGAACACGTCTCTGAGCGTGATACAAGGTCTCAGATGGTACGGTATTAGGTCTGGAGTCACAATGAACATTGCACTTCCATGAATTCACTGCTAGGTGGGCCTGGCAGGGCTTTGCCTTCAGATACCAGGACACCAAGCTTTCCAAAAGTCAAAGCTACTAGAGCAAGAATGTCCCTAGCTTTTTCTCTGAGACAGAAGACCTGGCTGGAGCCTGTGCTTGTGGATCTGAAGGCCACTCGGATAGGGGACCTTCCCAGGACTCCAGCAGCTCCTATTGCTTTGCAAGCAGTTTTCCAGCTGTTTATTTCATACTGCTGGCTAGTCTCTGGAATATTCCTCTACAGACAAGAAAACTGAGGCCCCATAGAGATTAAGAAAATCTCTTAGCCAGGTGGTGGTGACACATGCCTTTAATCCCAGCACTCGGGAGGCAGAGGCAGGCAGCTCTCTGAGTTTGAGGCCAGCCTGATCTACAAATTGAGTTCCAGGACAGCCAAGGCTACACAGAGAAACCTTATCTCAAGAAACCAAAACAAAAGCCAAACCAAACCAAACGAATCAAACAAACAAAAACTCTCTTAAGATGACACAACACGGACTGGAGAGATGGCTCGGAGGTTAAGAGCACTGGCTGCTCTTCCAGAGGTCCTGAGTTCAATTCCCTGCAACCACATGGTGGCCCACAACCATCCGTTACAAGATCTGCTGCCCTCTTCTGGTGTGCAGATATACATGGAAGCAGAATGTTGTATACATAATAAATAAATTTTAAAAGACTCACACAACATTCTGAGGCCCAGCTGGGGCCTGCACTCCTGAGTAATACTTCCTAGTGTTTACCCATCTTCTGGGGGAAGCTCTTTAGCTTGGAGAGAGAACAGTTTGCACTCAGAGGTAAGGGCATGGGGAGGAAGCCTGGTAGAGCATGGTACAGCTCAGAGAGCAGGGCCCTGCACAAAGCCAGAGGTGCTCTGAACACTCACGTTCCTTACTTCCCTCCAGGAATGTTGTTCTGACGAATCACATTCCCAGTTAACTGTAACACTGGGTCAGAGTCCACCAAGCTGACTACTCTTCTCACTTGGTAAGAAGCCTTAACAGGTTAAGGCCAGAAAAGAGCATGGTACTCTGGGAACTTCCTCTGAGCTGGGGGTAAGGGTGGGGGCTGGGTGTAAGGGCTTTTCTCTGCTCTCACAGGGAAACACTTTCAGAATGCCAGGCCACTGGGCCTTTTATACATGAGGAGGGGAAGCTGGGCAGGGAAGAAGTTCCCAGGTCTTCAGCTAGTTTCCATGGTGCTTACTCTTGATCCTCAAATGGACAGGATTTAGAATTACCACAGAACCCCCCCTGAGTGCGGCCCTGAAGGCATTTCCGAAAAGGTTCTCCTGAAGAGGGAAGGTTCACCCTGAATGTGAATGGCATCGTCCCATGGCCTGACTGGAAAGGAAAAATGGAGCCGAGCATGGGCAGCTGCCACTGTTTCCCAACTGCAAATCCAGCGTCCCCTCTGCCTTACACTCCCACAGCCATGACTGCCTACCACAGTGGACGTTGTCTTCAAACTACGAGCCAAAACAAACCTTCCTTAAATTGCTTTTGACAGACTATTTTGCCACAGTAACAGGAAAAATAACTAATGCCATAACACATGTGGGCCTTTCCTCCTTCTATATAAAGGGGGAGAAGCAAATTAAAATCTGAGACAAACTTCCCTGGATCCCTTAGAGGGGAGGAGGTTGTTGGCAAATGTGAGGCCTCCATGGCATAGCCCAAAGTCACCATCCAGGTGGAATAGATCACTGACTGACAGCTCCTATTTTACATTACCAGTGCACACACATTTTGTATTCCATTCCAAATATTCTGTCTGTTTAACATATAAATATTTGTCTTAAAATAGTGTCTGAATCAAATTGACAATCCAAGAAAATGTCATGGGGCTTCTTGTCACTCAGCCACAGACTCCAGTTAGAAAAAAAAAAAGAAATGAAGATTTCTTTAAACAATCACCACATGCCAAATGCTGTGCATGTACTGTACATGCAGCTGTCATTTCATCTGCACAGAAATATCAGCAGTTGGGACTATTACCATAACCTGTTTATTATTAAGGAAACTGAGACTCAGAGAGGTTAAGTAAGTTGTCAAAGGTCACCAAGCCAATGGAGTACAGAGCCAAATCACCTCCATGGTTTCTATCTGAACTAAGGCCAGGATAGAATCCAGAGGCCATTTCTTCACACTGGGGCTGAGAGTTCTACATATGGTGACCATCTAAGAAGTGACCTATGACCTGGGGTAGGGCTGGGCATGCCCTAAGGACAGACTCAGTGGCTGAATGATGAGTGAATGAATGCTAGCAGGCAGTTCTCCAAGAGAATACATTTGCAAGGTTGTCCAGGAACCATGACAGAGAACCAATTTACTGGCTTCC